ATTTATATGTTTATATGTATAAAAATGTGATGCTGGAAAATTTGGTGATCAAAAGTATCTTTCTTTGGTGATCATTTGTATCTAAAAGCGTTTGGTGATCAAAAGTATCTTTTTTTGGTGATCAAAACAATTGACACCCAAGGTTAACTTTCTTCTTGAAATTTCAGTATACTCCTAGTGAACGTGATTTTGATTTGAGCTTTGAGTGTCGTGCACTTAACCCAAAAGTTGGTCGTCATTCAATTACATTGCAAAAAGCGAGTAAGTATGCTTCTTATTTATTCACGGGTATTGTTTTCTTCTTTTTCTTTTCATCAGGTCCACCTCGTGCCGTTTACCCAACCGAAGCAAAACCGTTGGCAAATGCTACCGAACTTGTTGTTCATCCTCCAGAGACCAGTGATCTACCGCTAGTTCAATATATTGTTAATTATGAACAAATTGGAGTGAATCGACCAAATTCCATGAAAACATTGAAGTTTCCAGATAATTATAGACAATTGTTATCTAGAAATAGCAGACTAGTTTCATTTTCTTGTCTTCAGCTCAAACAACAAATGGACAACAATCTCAAACTCTGCGTATTGACAATCTGCAACCGAGCACTCCGTATAGTATCAACATTCTAGCTGAAACACGTGCTGGTGTTGGTCAATCAAAAGCGCCAGTTCGTTTGAAAACACTTGATCGACAAGTGCCACAATTTAATCTGTTATCTAGTACACTTGAAGATCAAATGTGCATGGATGATCGGAAATGTTTAATAAAATGGTCCATTGAATCAGATGGTGGTGCACCAATATCAAAAGCCGAAATTTTGTATGCAAAATCTAAAGATAATAGTGGGTTGGAAATTATGGAAACTCTTAGTGAACCACAATCGATTGATCTTCTGAAAACAGTATGAATTAATAAACATCGTCGAGGTGAACAACCGTCCAAATGGGTGATATTTGGAATTGTATTTAGCATTGTTGCTACAGCATTACTAGTTATACTTGTTTGTGTACTCATTAGAATATGTAGAATGGATAGCAGAAAGACAAAAACAAACGACATGTGAGTAGATAAAGTTTTGAAAGGTCAAGGATTTTAACCTCCGAATCTCATTTTTTCAGTGTTAAAAAGAAAAAGAAACGGTAGGTGATATGCAGTATTCTGTTGAATTTGCTTTACTATGATCGATGCAGCGAGAGTTTGCCAAGATTGTCCGGCATGAGAAAATTCTACTTTGATAGAAGATTTAGCCATTTGTACAGATGTATGGATTGATACACTCTATTCGTAAATGTTACGAGTGGCGTTTCTTGGATGGATGACATGACTCTGTCGACAAGCATGCTGACTAAAACTATGATGGAATTAAAATTTATTTTGCTTCGAAATCAATAAGAATACTCATAACATCACTTGTTTTACAGCTAGGGAGTCAATCTAAACTTTCATCTGATGTGAGTGAAGACTTTAGAAATACCGACTTTAGTACTAGCTCTTTGTAAACTTGATCCTTCTTGAAATGTCTGTTTGTACGTTTTTCATCTTTTTATGAAGTACTTCACGAACAGTGTCTCTAATTCCCAATAACGATCAATATGACTTATGTGCTGCTTATCAGAGCTCCGTATGGACTCAGATTTTTCAGTCCAGTCCATGGACTAAAAAGATCTAGTCTAGTCCAGTCCGAGTCCATGAAAAATATTTTTTGAGTCCCGTGCAGTCCGGTAGATTGAGTAAACAGTCCAATGGACTTTGCAAACTTCGGTATGCTGTCGGAGCCATTAGTAGCACGACCATTGCCAAGAAACATTTTATTACAATGCACACAAAAAAGTGTGCTAGATATGCCACTATTCGATTTCCAGACATACGTAAAGGGACATTTTTTACAAGAAACAAAACCGTCTATTCGTTTATCGACAGCACCAGGACACTTCATACATGCGAAACCAAGTACTTTCCAAATCTTTGACTTTGCTGCTATCGAATCATTGTCTGTTATTGCGTAACTGTCTTTTTTGTGTTTCAAAATCCGTGTTATTTCATGAGCGGTATAGACACGAGTTTGAGATATTAGATTAGACGTTGCCATCTTCTCAAACTACAATTTAGAGTTAACTAAGCATGGACTGATAATGGCAGGGCTTCTCCAAACATTGGATTATCTTTTTTACAGTATATATACTGTATTTAGTGTATATTGTAAAATTGATAATAAAAAGTAAGTATTAAAAATTATATATTGTGTATTTTTAATACTTACTTTTCATCTTCGTTTTTAAGGTAACAGTGTTACCTTAAAAACGAAGATGAAAAGTAAGTATTAAAAATACCGTAACAGTCTAGTTTATCATCAAAAAAAATGTACAAAAAACTGTAAAGAGAGATGTTGTTTATCTATGATATTTGTACATATAAACG